TTTTGAATCCAATCATGACACTAAAATAAAATCCAATTTATGAATGCCAAGATCATAATGTCTATGACGTGAGAGTCAAAATTTAAACCCAATTTAACTTCAAAAGTCCTTTCTCTTAAAAGATACATATAAATATATCTTGTCTGCTTCAAGTATTTGCGAAGGCATCTCAAGGCATATCCTGGGGGTAAGATTGATGTGGCTAAAGGCAAAAAAAGTTGGGAAATTTTTAATGCTGGAATAACCACCTTCATTGAAGATTTGTGCCCACTAGGTAGTGGCTCGTCAGGAGCCAGGATGGTGAAGTGGTTAGGCATTGGGCTGGTAACTGTATAATCAGGAGTTTGAAACTACCAGTAGCTCTTTCTAATCCTGTAAAGAGCTACTCTCAGAAACCCCTAAGGGTAATTCTACCCTGTCCTGCGTGTTCACTATGAGTTGGAATTGGATCGATGGCAGTGAGTTTGAGTGTGGAGGTCTAATAGCTCATGGTCTTATGGGGTTTTCTGCTTCTACTTCATTAATATGTGTAATACTCTGGCCAATAAACACATGTGGGGTTAATTGAAGGGCGGAGGGATAAATGGCTCAGTGAGACTTGACTTTCTAGTTCTCAGGTCTCTTGTTTGTGATGGTCGGACCAGGTGCAGCTGCCTTAACCAGTTCCCTGCTTCAGCTGGCAGGGCTCACTTCCTGCAAGACATCCCTGAGAAGCCACATGGACCTACCCCCATGCAGCCCTGGGTGCTCGAGCAGCCGTGTGGAGACCCCTGCCAGCGCTGAGATGCTTACACATTCACTGATTCGGCTTTCCTCCTGCAGTCGGGGTCACTGCATGTGTTTTGTGAGATGGAGGACTTTGTGGATTGGTGTTGGACAAGTGGGCTAATGTTGGACTTGTGGGCTTGGGGAGCACTGGGTTGGGATGTTTTCTTGATGTACACTTAACCTTTATATAAAACTCTCTCTTATACATGAGTTTCTGTGGATTTGTTTCTCTAAAGTACTGAGACTAGCACATCCTGCCAAAAACTGCGATTCTCGCTCAAAGGGAAAGACAGGATGTAATCTGAGAAAAAAAAAAAAAACCTCCACCTTTGGTCACGTGTTACTGTATTATAGTAAGACTTGCTGCATAGTTCTGTATTATAAACCAGACAAGAACACTGAAGGCATTCTTATCAAATTTCTAGGTAACAAATTAAAAATGGGTACTTAATCCAGACAGTAGGGATCATGCCTTACTTTTCTTTGCAGGCCAGGCCCAGGATCCACTGCAATATTTGACACAAAGAAGTGCAATCAGTGTTTCTTAAATTATAAAATCAAGATTTGAAAGGGCAGTAGTAGGCTTAACTGTTGAAGCAAGGGCAAGTTCAGGGTTAAAAAAAAATTAGGGATTGTTTTTGTTTTTTAATGGCAAAATCAGAAAATGTGAGGGATAATTTTTTAAAGCTATTAAGACTAAGCCCAGTAGTAATTAATACATTGTCAGCAAGCCCAGTATTAATCAATGTGATAGTTCATAGAATCTTTTGGGACTTCTTACAACCTATGAGGTAAACTAGTTTTATTAACCTCACTATACAGATGAGGAAACAGACTAAACTTGAGTTATGTAATTTGCTGTCCCAAAAGCTCACAGAATCTCTTTCCAACTTCACTTTTAGAAAAGGATTCTCAATAGAGAAGACAGCCTGCATATGTCGCTGTTCCACTAAACTACACATGGAATCCCTTCTACAGCTCAGTGCATCAAAAAAAGGAAGACAACTTAAGAGTGGTGTCTAGAAAAGAGGTAGCAAAGTAATGAAAGGATTTTAAATGTCATAAGAAATCCAAAGGAACCAGAGCTGCTTACCCAAAAGAAGACTAAAATGAATGTGCTAGCTATCTTCAACCATAGAAGACATGTCATGTGTAACAACCAAGATTCAGATGGTAGAACTAGTACTAAAAACTACAGGGACACAGATTTTGGCTTTCTTGATACATGGAAAAACTTACTAAAAAGTAGTCCTGTCTAGGTGTTAACCTAGGTGAAGGGGACTATCCTAAAAAGGGGGGAGGAGGAAAAATGGGCAAAGTGGGGAGGATTCAGCAAGCTTTTGGGATGTTTCATAAATTGCTTAAATTGTTGAATACAAAAATGATTTGAAATGCACATCCCATCTAATTCACAATAAAGTTTCAAAATGAAAAGCAAGCAAGCAACGACAAAATGAGTCCTTTCTAAAAATAAATGGGATGGTGTGAGTTTCTCATTTTTTATATCAGCTCATCTCACTCTAAGATGTTCAAACAAAAATGGGCAATCACTTAATGGGAATATTAGACAGGAGACTAAAGCAGTGAACCATAAACTCTTTCAGACTCTAGTCAGTCTTAAGATTACCTAACATACAAACACCTAAAAGTGTACTTTGTAAATGTGCATTTTACAAAGTTAAGCTTTGTGGACAAGATTGTATCTTCTGATACAAGATACACAAACAGATTTCCCCTCCATTTGAAAATCAAAACCACACAAAGTTGACTCTTTGGTCAAAGTTCTCTAGGGGGAGTGGGGGGAAGCTTAGGAAAGATGAGACAAACAAAAATGTAAGAAAAAGAATTTGGATACAGTACTGATACTATACACTGGTATGCTACAAAATCCTCAATTCTGTAATACAAAGGGGCTTAAAAGAACTCATGGGAAAATTTCATTACTGACTTTTAATTCCATTTTTCCATGAACTTTTCAAGTTCCCTTATATAAACCAAGTACTGTTTGTGATCAGTTCCATGAGTATTAATATCAATACTACTTCTTTGATACAGAAAAGCTATCATGAATTCAACCTTTTTCCGGCTTTCCTCTCTCTTTTATACAATTCTTAAGCTTTTAACTGTCAGGATGCTTTTAGAAGTCACCATGAAGAAATAATTTTTAGGTTGAAGCTTTAAAAATAATTCAATTACAATGGTTTTCTTTTTTATGGTAAATCTGTAACACTGGGAAAAATGCTAATTGCTCAAGATGGAAAGTCACATCTAGCTTCAAATCTGAGTTTATAGCACTTAAAACACCATGACCTAGGGCATTATGATGCCAGAAAATCAATCAATTTAACCCAATCTGTTTCCTCATTGTGGAGTCCTGGGGGCATACTGGTTACGCATTGGTCTGAAATCAGCAAGGTCTGAAGTTCAAAACCACCAGTCCCCTAGGGAGAAAGACAGGGCTTTCTAATCCTGTTAACAGTTACAGTCTCCTGAAACTCACAGGGGAAAGCTCTCCCCTGCCCTACAGAGTCGCTTTGGGTCAGCACTCTAAGGCAGGAAGTGTGGTTTCCTCATCCGTAATAATGGGGCTAATAAATGATCCACCTTAAAGACTATTGTAAGATGTAATTTGTACAGTAAAGAACTCACTAAATGTTAGCTATTTTACTATACCCAATGAATTTGAAACCAACCAAATGATTATAAGTATTTATACTACAAATGTCTCTCACTAGGGATATTCAAAATAATGACTATAAATTGTTAAAACTTTATAAGTGCTCTTTTACAAGCATTTTAAGAAGAAGGGAAAAAAGCAGTTTCCTGCTATTTCCATTTGCTTTACAAGAAGGTGTAAAAATAGAACATGGAATCAGAAGCTGGGCATCTTTGTAAATTCTAGACTCCATAGTTTAATAATAGCACCAAACATCAAATGTCACAACAATTAGGAGACTGGGTGTTCTATTAAATAGCACCCATGTTCTTACACCTTATACAATCACTAATTAGGATCTACTGAACATCTGAAATAGTAACAATAAATAGAACTTACACTGGATCAGGGCCTAAGGCAGCGGTTCTCAGCCTGTGGGTCGTGACCCCTTGGGGATCGAAGGACCCTTTCACAGGGTCGCCGATTCATAACAGTAGCAAAATTAGTTAGGAAGCAGCAAGGAGAATAATTTTATGGTGGGGGGGTCACCACAACACGAGGAACTGTATTAAAGGGTTGCGGCATTAGGAAGTTTGAGAACCGCTGGACCTAAGGGCTTTCATACATATTTTTCCTAACAGCTATCCTATCAGGGAGGGGCTACAATTGCGCTCATACTTTAACAAAGAAATTCAGGCACGGATTATTCAAGAAACTTGCCTAGGTCAAACAGCTAAGTAAACAATGGAGGTAGACTTTCCTGCCTCTGACAAAATTGATCAAGTTGGATTTTTCTTTTAACACAAGCAAACTGATTTCTTGTGGGTAAAGAAAGAGATTTACAACTCCCTCAAAGACCTCCCTTCGCTGTCCGCTGTCAAGTAATGATCATTACATTTTAACTCTTTAATACTATCAGCCACAAATCTCTCTTTGAGGGGACCAATTGTTGGTATTATTTCCATCATGTTTCCAAGTGGCCGACCAGCCTCGTAGAGAGACCCTCAAGTCACACCGGGCAGCAAAGAACTGCGTAACCCCCAAAAGCAAGCGGTCATTTCAAAAACCCTTCAGAGACGAACGTTTTGCCCATCGGAACCTTACTTGCAGACAGGACAAAATGGAACTTGCATAAACACTTAGTCATCAGTAAGCGCCTAAGTTACAAATCACCTAGTTCGCAAAAAAAAAAATCAAACCCTCCGCGAAGTTCCTAATTCCAAAAGGAAGAAAACGGGCTGACACTCGGAGCCCGGAGGGCGAAGGCACCTGGGGCCCAGGCGGAAGCGCATCTACGGGGACCAACTCGCCCAGCGGAGGGGGGACCCACCGCGCACGGCACCGCCAGGGAGAGCACCGGGGGCTTTTCGGGGCCCTTCCCACACACTGTCCGCACGCCGACACGCGGCGCCGGGCCCGAGACGAGAACGGCCATCCGAAGGCGCCAGTGACCGGCCGGAGACGTGCTTGCCCCGCTCCGGGGGGCCACGGCGGCAACGCACGCACAGCCCGGAAAGCCCGGGGCCGCCGCGGCGGCGCCTCCTCCCGCTCCCCGGGCCGCCCTCCACGTCCGCACCTGCAGCGTGGTGATGTGCTTGTCGTTGAACTTGTTCTCGCAGTAGCGCAGCACCAGCGACGTCTTCCCCACGCAGCCTTCCCCCAGCAGCACCACCTTGAACGAGTAGGCTCGCCCCGCCGCCGCCCCGCCGGCCGCAGCCATCCCGCCGCTTCCCCGCCGCCGGAGCCCGAGCGCCGCGCCGCACTGCCCACAGCCTCGGCAGCACCTTCACCGCCGACACGCACGCAGCTCCCTCCGGCCCGGCCCTGCGGACCCCGGGCGCCGTCTGCACCCCCTCCTCACAGCGCCGCCCGGCCGACTCCACTCAAGCCCGAGAGCGAAGAGCCCCGGCAACCGCGTCAAGAACACCCGAGGAAACAGCGGAGAGTGTGCCTTCTCCGCCTCCCTCTAATGGCGTCTCCTTCCTCCTACGTCACGCTCGGGGTCACGTGACCGCCGCGGCCCAGCGCTGGCTAGCGACGGGGCCAGAAGAATGCGTCCGGGCGGGGGCGGGGCCTCTGGGGGCGGGGCCTCTGGGGCCTCTTCCGGGGTGGAGCTCCCCGAGGGACGCGGAGATTCCCTGTGGTATGTGCTGCCGGCCGCCTTCCTCCCCCCACCCTGCCGGGGAAAGACCCTGCTGACTGAAGGGAGCAGCCTCGGGAGGCTAAAGCACAGCTCGGGTGGAGTGTTGAAGCCAAACCACGTCGTTCTGGTCCTGGGATTATTTACGAGGCTAAGAACCTAGTGGGCATAGTGGGTTCGGCCTTGGGCTGCTATCTGCAGGGTCAGCATTTCAAAAGCAGCAGGGCTTTCAGCTCGCGGGAAGACTTGTTAGGTGCCTTCAAGTCGATTCCAACGCGTAGCAGCCTACCGGATTGTAAAGATACTCAAAGGTGCTGATCTTGACCTGAAGGGGGGCATTGAGGGACAATTGACTCAATGGCAGTGAGTTTTATGTTTGTTTTGAGTGAATAACCTCTCTCCCAGGGCTCAGGGCAAGCCACATCTAGCAAGGAGTCCTTCAGTTTCTTGGTATTAGGATCCCAAATCAGAAGTTGTTGAACCTCATTCAGTTCCACAGCCGGCTGGGTTTCCAACTCATTTTCATCTCACAACTTAAACTTGGAAAGGTATCCCTGGCCACATGGTTTCATTACTTACCTCTTCCCCCGCCCCCTAACCTATTTAATAATAACTATACTCTTTAGAAAGGCGACCTGGTGGTATGGTAGTTACACGTTGGGCAACGATTTAAAAGGTCAGCAGTTCAAAACCAGCCACTACAGTCTCAGAAAGGGAACAGTTCTACCCTGTTCTATAGGGTTGCTGTGAGTCAACATGACTAGATGGCTGCATACATGAATTGGCACAGTGGCTACAAAAATGGGACTCAAGCATCATCATTGTGAGGATGGTTCAGGATCGGGTAGTGTTTCATTCTCTTGTACATAGGGTCTATATGAATCAGAAGCAACCTGAAGACATATAACAATAACAACAAAGATTTAAAGACTGGGAAGCATAAAAGGGCAAATGGCAGTTGTACCCAGACCGACAGGATCACTGTGAGATAGGAACAGACCTAATAGCGGTGAGTGAGTGAAACTTTTCCAAAAGAGCTGCTTGTGAGTAAATGGTCAACTAGTAAGCAACAAGGCGTAGGGTTCAAAGCCACCAACTGCTGTGGGTGAGAAAGTTGAAGCGATCTGCTTCTGTAAAGATAGTCTCCGAAACCCTGTTGCTCCGAACCCTGTTGCTTCGTAGGGTTGCTACAAATCAGAATCTCTTATATGGCAGTGGGCTTTGGGTTCGACTCTTCCAACCACCTGAACCCATACTTTGCCCTCGCCCCAAGGTATTCAAGAACAGATAAGTGCCTTACTCGGATTTAACCATACTTCCCAGAAGTTGCTTTGCTGAGTCTCTTCTCATTTGGTTGGAGGTTTGATAAGGGCAAGAATTGTTTTTGAATTGCTTGCCTCTGAATTCCCAGCCCCCGAGCCAGACACATAATAAACCAAATCATGCCAATCGCCATCAAGTTGATAATGATTTATGGGAGTCAGCACTTTGTAAGCGCTCTAAATATTTGTGGATCACTAAACGATACAGCTAAAACTCGTAGGCCCTGGCTCCCCAGGTTTTCTGGATTCCACGAAGCTTCTGATACTGGCTTGATGATTACTTATATTTACTCATATGCCTCCCATTCCTTTAATGAATCTACTTTTCCAAGAAACCATACTAGCCTTTCTCAAACTTTGCAACTAGAATATGATGTCAGTTGGGTAAATATGCTCTATATTCTCTGACTGCTTTTACACATCAAACTGAATTAAGTGCAACACAAAAATCCCAGTACATTCTTCCACTCACAAATATTTGAGGGTGCCTCTGTATGCCAGGCACTGTGCTGAGCAATTATTGGAGGTTTAAGTCCTCCCAGTAGTGCCTCAAAAGGAAGGTCTAATCATCTATTTCTGAAAAAGCAGCCATTGAAAATCCTGTGGAGCAGAGTTCTACTCCGACACATGTGGCGCTGCCACGAGTCAGAATCCACTTGCAGGCCTCTGGTCTGTGAGTCTCTGGGTTATGTAAATGGTTAATATGCTCAGCTGCTGACTGAAAGTTTGGAGGCCTGATTCCACCTGGAAGGACCTCAGAAGAGAGACCAGGTGATCTACTTCTAAGAAAGCAGCTACTAAAAACTCTACAGCCAAAACGTGGAAACAACCTAAATGCCCATCAGCAGTTGAAAGGATAAGGGATATGTGGGACATACAATGGAATACTATTCAGCCATTAGGAGAAATGTAGTGTTGAAATACGCCACATTATGGATGGAGCTTGAGCAATAATGTAAAGCACTCTAGAAGAGACCGGAGAAGAAGCCACGGATAAGGACCCTTAATCAAATAAAGGGTTTTAATCAAGGGGAATGAACATGAACAGATTAGCATTTTTAGAGATCACTGTAATTTGAAAGTAAATTGCAAAGGAAAATTTGAGAAAATAATTTTATTGGGAGCTCTTACAGCTCATCACAATCCATCCATACATCCATTGTGTCAAGCACATTTGTACATACGTTGCCATCATCATTTTCAAAATATTTTCTTTCTACCTGAGCCCTTGGTATCAGCTCATTTCCTGCCTCCCCCCTCCCTCCCCCCTTATGAACCCTTGATAATTTACAAATTATTGTTTTTTTCATGTCTTACACCGACCACTGTCTCCCTTCACCCACTTTTCTGTTGTCCGTCCCCCTGGGAGGGAGTTATATGTAGATCATTGTGATCCATTCCCCTTTTCTCCCCCCACCTTCCCCTTCCCTCCACTCTCATTATTGGTCCTGAGGGGTTTGTCTGTCTTGGATTAGGAAGTATAATTTACTTAGACTTACTTAACAGTCCTATATTAAAAAAGCCCTCTATTTTTGTTTTTTAAAAATTCCCCTAGATATAGTGTTTCTGGAAATATGTTCTATGTATTCCCTCAGGACCCTTGAAAAATTCATGAACACTTCAGAATTAAGATCAGACTTTTAAAGGGGCCAATTCCATTGATCATTCTGAATTCTACCTTATATTGGAATGACATCTCCCTTTGACTGCCAATTCTTCCTGATCCAACCTACACCGCATATATCTAAATTCCCTTTCTCCGTGAACACCCATCACACGTGTGAAAGAAATCATGTAATCCCTTTCTAAACTTTTATAAGTCATTAAACAGGCCTGGTGGCATAGTGCTTTACAAATTAGGTTACTGCTTTAGTCAAAACATTGAAAGAAAGTCAGAAGCTCTGCACGAGGACTGGAGGCCATTTCTCTCTTAGAAGGACTACAGAGTGCAAGGACACCTCGGTGAATAGATAACTCAACATCAATTATTTACCGATGAGAGTAGAGGCATGGTAGGGTGCAAATTCTAATGTATATAGCCACTTCCTCCCAACCACTCCCCAGCATCCACCCCTCCTCAAATAAAAAGAAAAATATGCTTGATCTAACTGAATTATGGACTGTTATAATATCTGTAAGAGCCCCAATAAAATGATTTTTTTAAACATAAAAATAGTCCAAACATAATCAGGTAATGCTTATTTGTTTGTTTGAGAGGGGAAATTTCTTTGTCTTTTAAAAAATAAATCAATCATTTTATTGGGGGCTCTTACAGCACTTATAACAATCCATACATCCATTGTGCCAAGCACATTTGTACCTATGTTGCCATCATCATTTTCAAAACATTTTCTTTCTGCTTCAGCCCTTGATCTCAGCTCCTCTTTTTTCCCTCCTTCCCCGACCCTTGTCATTCCCTAATAAATTATAATTATTTTTTTCATATCTTACACCATCCACTATCTGCCTTCACCCACATATCTGTTGTTCGTCTCCTTGGGTGGGGGAAGTGTGTTATACTTCAATCATTGTAGTTGGTTCCCCATTTCTTCCCCTTCTCCCCCCACCTCCCCCCTACCCTCATGGTATCGTTATTCCATTACTGCTCCTAAGTGGTTTATCTGTCCTGGATTCCATGTGTCGAGAGCTCTTATCTGTACCAGTGTACATGCTCTGGTCCAGCTGGATTTGTAAGGTAGAACTGTGGTCATGATTTTGGGTGGGGTGGAGCATTAAAGAACTAGAGGAATGCTGTGTGTTTCATCAGTGCTATGCTGCACCCTGGTTGATTCATTCCTTCTTTGTGACCCTTCTGTGAGGAAATGTCCAATTGTCTGCAGATCGGCTTTGGGTCTCCACTCTAACCCCCATCATTTGCATCAATATATCTGTTTGGGGTCTTCTGATGCCTGATACCTGATCCTGTTGACACCTCATAATCACACAGTCTGGTGTGTTTCTTCCGTGTGGGTTTTGTTGCTTCCCTGCTAGAAGGCTGCTTGTTTAACTTCAAACCTTTAAGACCCCTAACGCTACATCTTGTTATAGCCGGCCACCATCACCTTTCTTCACCACATTTGCCTATGCACCCATTTTGACTTCAGCGACCATGTCATGAAGTTGAGCATCACAGAATGCCAGGTTATTAGAACAAAGTGTTCGTGCATTCAGGGAGTACTTGAGTAGAGATCCAATGTTCATCGGCTAACTTAATATTTAACATTTAAATATATGTACATAGACCTATATCCCTATTGTTATATATTAATATACTTACATATGTGCATGCCTATATTTATACCTCTATAAATGTTTTTTTGCCTCCTAGTTATTTCCTCTACTTATTTTTACTTTCCTCCTGTCCCACTATCATGTTCAACCTTCATTCGACTCTCAGTATTTTCTCTCAGCTACAATGTACTTGATCAAACCCTACCAGGCATTCTATGCCCTCCTCGCCATCAATTTTAGATTTCTTCTTGTTCCCTTGTCCCTGGGTTTGT